GTCCTGGGTCTGCCACTTGCTACCTGTGTGACTTGGGACAAGATTCTTAGTACTTTGACTCCCTCATATGTGAAATGGGAATAATGATGGTTGTAACTTGTTGCTGTTGAAGGTTGAAGTAGATAATAGAGTGATTAAAATATCATCTAGCCTGTGGCAAACTCTTAAGTCTTAGTTGTGATAATTACCTCAAGAGCTGTTCAGTAACCTAGAGAAAGTATTGACTCTCCCAGTCATTTTTAGTGTGTTTAAGTTGAGTCTGTAAGGTCTCGGTAAAATGTCCATAAGTCCTAATAGCTTACCAGGAGGATTCTAGCATCATCTGTTGGTAACTTTTTGTTCCTAAGCATGTATTGTGCATCACACTCCACTCTTTGACACTCTGCTTGAGCTGTCACCTCTTTACAGGGGGCTCCCAGACCCACATTTCCAGATGCCGCCCCTCTTCTGAGACTCAGCGGGCACCTGCTTTTAGATGCCCCTTCTTAAGCCCCTCTCCCTGGGTTTTATTGGTTAGTATCTGTTCCATGTGCCCACTTCTGTTGGCTGTTCTGTGTCTTCCCTGAAGCCCTAGATGTGAAGATGCTCAGTGCCTGTTGAAAGAACAAGAACTGTAGTCTCCCTTTTAGAGACTGAAGTGTTAAAGTCTCACATTTTCTGGGCTCTTCGCCTTTGAAAGCAGAGTGGTTTGTTTTTTCCAGCCTTCAATCTCCTCAACTCTGCTTCGTGAATTGGAAAATGAAAACTAACCTAAGTATACTGTTGTTGTGATGACTGCAGGTCCTTTTGGGTGCCCTGGCGTTTGCTCATCTTCCTTGAAAACTCCCAAGCACAGGCCTGGCTCCTTGGACAGCCGCCTGCGGGTCTGGGAAAGGCGCTGCGGACTCCGGAGGAGCCAGGCGACCCAGGAGCGCCACCTTGTGGGCGTCGGTTAATTGCTGCCTTTAAGAAGGAGCCAGTGTCCCTCCAACACCCAGTATTCTGGTTTCCCATCTCAGGACCTGGGGAAATGTAGCCAAAAATGAGATTCCAGATAAATTAAAAAACGGTTGTTCGGCAAACTTACTGTGCATTATCTACCTCCTGTTTAAATAATCTACCTCCTGTTTACTGCATGTGCCCTTTAGATGTTTCAGATTTCTTTTTTCTTTTTTTAAATAATTATTTGGCTGTGTCAGGCCTTAGTTGCACATGCTGGATCTTTAGTTGTGGCATGTGGAATCTAGTTCCCTGACAAGGAATTGAACCCAGGCCCCCTGCATTGGGAACACAGTCTTAGCCACTGGACCACCAGGGAAGTCCCCAGATTTCTTATGATTGAGAAGTAGGTACTGTTTTTAACAGGGATTTTTGAATGGCCAATTCTGCATTTTACATGCTCTGGTAAAAAAAGAAAAATTTACGTTCTAGGTTGTACATCAGAAGATTCAGATATTTTTCACTGAGGTTTTGAAGAGCTGCTTTTTGCATGATTTTTTTTAAGTGGCCAAGTCGTACTCAGAGTGTGAGCAGGAAAATCCAGGAGGTCCTTAGAAAAGTAGAATTTGAATCCCCATTCCAGACCTGCACCAGAATCTGTGGTGATTCGTGGGCACCAGACAGTTTGAGAAGCGCAGGTGGAAATAAGATGGAAGATCTGTGTTCTTGTCCCCATGCAGCCACGTCCTTAAGGGTATCATTTCACCCAATGTGATCACATACCATCAGCCTCAGTGGCCTGGGTGTGAACCGGCTTTATGGTTCCCGCCTTGCCTGCCCTTGGGTCGGCTGAGGAAGGGCTGAAATCATACACAGGTGGTCACTTTGAACATGATAAAAGCCTGTGCAAGTGTAAAGGAAAATTCTTATGTTTTATACTCAGCCATCATTAGCTAACTTGCTTTATATTAGCTACATGAGCAGAGTGAGTATTCATTCACCCATAACCATTCATTACACTTCAGATAGTGTCTGGGCATTTTTCACCAAGTTTGCAAAGGTCTCTCTTGGGCTAGTCTTCCCAGAGCTCAGAATAATCAAATTACATTCTGTTTTCCTTAACAAGACCTTTCACACAACTTGCCTTCCTGGGGTCTCAGAAATCTTCCCGCTGTTGAGCCCAGAATGGGGCACAGTACATACTGGAGGATGCTTGTTGATTAAGCCACTAATTAGCTCCCAGCGAGGTCCAAACACTGGCTTGATGTCCTTCACACTGATCCGTTTATGATAATCAGATTATTTGCATCATTGAGAGATTCAACATAGCTCCAGGACTCAGTCATCACAATAATAAGTATCAAACATTCATTAAGCAAAGATGCTGGATGGCTGAGAAATCCTTTGGTAGTGCATGAAGACTGGGGTAGGTGAGATCATTAGCTGTTTACAAACGTCACTCCCATTACATTTGAAATGGTGGGAGGGGGAGGACAAAGGGCAAAAACAGCAGCAAGATATTACTCTCTTCTCCTTGCATACATTTTAAAAATAAAATCAATAGTCAAGAAGCTGTTGGGCAAAAAGTAGGTGGAATTTTAGGAAAACATATCATCTGAAGGTGTTGCTTGGACCCTAGTGGCCCCTGCTCCCGAAGAAGCGGTACTGATTGTCAAACAGTGAAAGGGAAATACTGAGAAAAATTAATGACACTTTTCCACCAAACTGAGGCTCACAAACTTTCAATTCAGGTTAAATTAGACTTTTGCATTGTCTACAATGTGTGAAATTATGGACTTTATGCCCCCAATTTACTAAATATGGGCTTCCCAGGTGGTTCTAGTGGTAAAGAACCTGCCTGACGATGCAGGAGACATAAGAGANATCTGCCTGCACTGCAGGAGACCTGGGTTTGATCCGGGATTCTGAAGACCCTGGAGGAGGGCATGGCAGCCCCCTCCAGTATTCTTGCCTGGAGAATCCCATGGACAGAGAAGCCTGGCGGGCTACAGCCCACAGGGTTGCAAAAAAGTCAGATACTACCTAAGGATCTTAGTATAGTAAAAGTATGCTCTTTTATTGGATCCATTGCAATAAGCAGTATTTTCTCTAATCATTTAAAAGAATTCAGAATGTAGTGCTTCAAAATTACTTTCTCTAAAGTTAAAATGTACTCATAATGAGTAATTTTGTGTAGTAGGGAAAGTAAACCCTATGCTGCTCTTGCAAAGACAGTCTGTCAGAGTCAGATCTTAAAGCAAAGTGTGGCAGCGTTCGGTTTATCTCTGAATACCTGATAATCCCAGGATGCTACCAGTATGCTGTGTTTTATAAGAATACATGTAAGAAAAGAGTGTGAGAAAACTACAACATGACCTTTTTATTAATTTTTAACTTCTTAAAAATTTCAAATCAAGAGAAAATGCCGGAATAATAGAAAAGGTGTGGCTACACATCTGGAGTCACTAATGGTTCACATGTTTACCACGTGTGTGTTCTGCCCCCCTTCCTTTCTCACATTCTCTCTCTCTCCTCCCCTCTCCCCCAGGGACCTGCTCTTAAATATCCCCAGCAAAATGATCAATTTCAGGACAATTTGACATGGATAGGATGCTCTCAACTGGTACATAACCCCAAGTTGTTGCAGTAATGCCCTATGTAGCATTTCCCCCTCGATCCTGGATCTCATCCAGGCTCACCTCTTGCATTATCTGTGGTGCCTTTGGTGTCCTTCAAACTGGAGCAATTTCTTAGTTTCTCTTTGTCTTTGATGGCATTAACATTTTTGGAAGGTGCAAGCCAGTGTTTCCTCACAATGCAAGTGTGAGACTATGCATTTGGGGGAAAAATACTAAATGATGATTCTTCACAGAACATTGCATTCGTGGACCCATGATGTTGGTTTGTTCCATTCCTATGACAGTAACTGCTCACTGGGTTCAGGTGACATCTGTCAGATTCTCCCATTGTATTCAATCATTTCTAATGGTGGTGTTGCAGGGGAGAGGGTACTCTGACACTATTAATTCTGTTTCCCTATAAATTTTGGCATCTATTCATGATCCTTACCTGATAAGTTACTACTGCTTTTGTCAAAAATGGTGATTTTCTAACTCATATTCCTTTACATTTATTGTAAGTCCACTGTAAAGAATAATTTTCTCTTCTGCTCTCTTGATGTGTATATCTATTTATGTGTTTGTGGGCATTAGTAGCGGCTTGCAAGTTGTTTTGATTCAGCTGGATATTACTTACTACTCTCATTATTCATTTTGGTGTGCATGTGGTCCTACTCACCTTTGCCAGGTGGGTACCCTTTCATTATCACGCCTATGTTTGTTTGACACGGCCCCATGGGTGTGTATCATTTATTCTTTAGCATACCTGTATTGAAGTTAATTGCAGAATTTATACTTTGAAAAAGCTTTTTCTTTTTTAAAGCTATGCTGTGCCCCAGCTACTGACTCATGGACCAATGGGAAAACAGACAATTAAATCAGCCCTTAGAGTACAGCGAGTGATGATCATGGGAACACTGAGAACAAGCTCTTCATGGCTTTGGGTCTACTCAGGAAGGCTCCTAGGATAAAGTACATCACCTCTTCACCCTGAAAGATGAACAGAAATAATAAACCTGGGGAGAAGGCAGTGCTCCAGGATAAGGGAAACACACATCCCTTTGAGGAATTCCTATCTCTCAGGGCTCCCGTGGTGGCTCAGACAGTAATGAATCTGCCTGTGATGCAGGAGACCCAAGTTCTATCCCTGGGTGAGAAAGATCCCCTGGAAAAGAAAATGGCAAACCAGTCCAGTATTCTTGACTGGAGAAGCCCATGGACAGAGGAGCCTGACAGGCTGCGGTCCATGGGGTCACAGAGAGTTGGACAGCACAGGAAGCCTGTCAGCAGGGCCCCACCCCAAACCAATTAAGTCAGGATCTCTGGAGGGGGAAGCGTCTAGGTTCCATACATTTTAATTTCCATACATAGCTTCTAGAGAATTCGTTACGAGGAATGGTGTCATGTGTCATGGAGCTAAACCCTTTGGAACTAAAATCTTAAAAATCCATTTCATTTTTTTAGGATTTTGAACTCAACAACGAACTAAAGATGAACGTCTTAAATTTGCTAGAAGAGGTCTTACGAGACCCAGATCTTCTTCCCCAGGAACGGAAAGCCACAGCGAATATCCTGAGGTAAACGCACTGGCAGGTGCCTGTTAATTACCCTGGTTGGTCTGTGCTGTGTTCACAGACGGTAAGATCCTGTCAGACCAGAAGGATGTGTGTTAGACTTCTGAGGTGCAGCGACTGTTCTGTCTCACTGGTAAAGCTTCCTTGGGAAGACTTTAGTCTGGGCGACGTAACTGGTGTGCAGTACAGTCACTCCTGTCTGTGTGGCAGACGGTGGTTTACTGTGGAACCAAAAGCCTGGAGGGTGCTCTCCTGAGGGTCCGGTGGGTGTTGCAGAGGTGTTTCCCCTCACGTGTGTTCTGTTTATCACAAGCTAACGGTTATGGGGGGTGGGGGGTGGTGAGGTGGTTGGTAGCATTTCTATAGGAGTCTTGTGTAGCTGGCTTGTGGACGTGCCGCCGTAGAGCAGCTATACATTTTCTTCAGCTTATTTCACTGGTCCTGAACCAATTTTAGCATCAGTGTCTTCGTGTTTAATGTTGTTTATTTGTTATTTATTTGACCGCAGCGCGTCTGAGGTGCTGCACTCAGGGATAGTCGTTGCCGCGCACACGCGCTCTAGCTGTGGAGCCTGGGCTCAGGAGTTACGTCGCCCAGGCTTCGCTGCCCAGAGGCATGTGCGATCCTAGTTCCCCGACCAGGGATCGAACCTGCATCTCCTTTGTTGGAAGGTGGATTCTTAATCACTGGACCACAAGGGAAGTCCCTACCATCGGCTTCTTAGGTGGAGATTTCCACATCCTGTAGGTTGTATGAATTCAGACCCTGCACTTCAATGTGACAAAGTCTTAAATTTTGGGTTTCGCACTAGAGGCTGCTTGTGTCTCATTATACCCAGCAGCCAGGCAGGTAACAAACTTTCTCGTGCCTCCAACTGATGAGTAGTCTTTTCCAGTCCATTCTACATGAAGAGGGCAGCCATTAGTGTCTCTGTGCAGACATTTCAGTTACAGTTTCCACCTCACGTGTGGCGGTACGTCTGTCCCTGCGTGGGGTAGGAAGCCCGGGGCCTGCTCCTCCTTTGCCATTCTGACTTTGAGCCCCCGCTGCATCTGCAAAGGAAAGAACCCTTCCTTTCTTCTATGCTTGACTCTATTGTTTCTTCATTTTCCTGAATGCTTGTGTGTAGAGGGGAGTCCAGTTTACCTGAATCCATCATGCTTTTGGAGGCCTCTCTGCAATGTAGAAGTGTCAGATTCTGGTCTGAAACATCTTAGCAATTGGCCCATAAGTCATTCTTAGCCCCACTAGTTCAAGATCCCGTAGCCAGACCCTTCTTTGATCTATGAACTATTATGGCTTGAATTGCATCCCCCTAAAAATTATATTGCAGTCCTACCCCTGAGCACCTTGGAATATGGTCTGATGTGGAAATAAGGCTATTGTAGACGTAATTAGTTAAGATGAAGTCACACTGGAGGAGGGCAGGCACCTTATCCAATATGACTGGTGTTCTTAAAAGATGATGGCCATGTGAAGACAGAGGGAGACACAGATGGAAGGCCATGTGGAGATGGAACAGAGCTTGGAGTAATACAAATACAAGCCAAAGAGTGCCAACAATTGCTGGAAAACCTCCAAAAGCTGGGAAAAGGCAAGGAAGCAGCAGTCCCCAACCTTTATGACACCAGGGACCAGTTTTTGTGAAACACGGTTTTTCCACAGACTGAGGGTGGGGTGGGGTGGGGAGGGTTTCAGGATGATTCAAGGGAATTACATTTATTGTGCACTTTATTTCTATTATCATTACATCACCTGCACCTCAGGTCATCAAGCATTAGATCCTGGAGGCTGGGGACCCCTGCAAGGAGGGGTTCCTCTGCAGGTTTCAGAGGGAGCATGGCTCTGCCGACACCTTGTGTTTGGACTTCGAGCCTCTAGAACATTAAGACAGTGAATTTCTGTTGTTTCCAGTTACTTTGTTTGTTGCACTTGCTTAGGGCAGCCCGAGGCGTGCTGCAGTCCATGGGGTCACAGAGAGTCAGACACGCTGTGACTGAACTGAACTGAGAAAACCATTAAGGGTCTTCAGTTTCCCATTCTATGAAAACATCTCAGTGAACTTGGGGACTCTGTTACTATGTTATTTTCAGATTTTAAAATTCTAAATACATCTTCGGATAAAGCCTGGTGTCGGTGGATGAGTGGTTGTCTGTGAGTGATTGCTCTTCTCTTCTTTTAAACTGTTGACTATGCTCTTTGTATTTAAAGCATGGATGATTTAAAACTAGGTTCTGGAAGTGTGGGCCCCTGGTGACGTTTGACTAAATAACTGGCAGGAAATTGAAGGTGCTCAGACTGGAAAGGCTGTCAGGACTGGGCAGTTTGAGGCCTTCATTTTGCTTGTCCCCTCACAGCACCCATGCCAGGCATCACCCATCAACCTTGAGCACTCTCTGCCTGTGCCCGCAGTGAGCTCAGAACTCTGCTGACTGGCACTTCTACTCCAGACGAACCTTATCTACCATCCCAGGTCTTTATTAGTCATCAGGCTTAGAATGTACAATTTTTTTTTTTATGAATAAGTGACCTAAGAATTAGAGGTGTAAAACTGATAATGAATGGAAATTTTAGTAGATGGGTGCAGCCTGGGATTGTAACATCTAGCCATCTGATTCTCGCTTTTGCAGGGAGTCACAGGTTTAAATCTTGGCTCAGCCACTAATAACTTTCAAGTTTCTTAGTCAATCTTAACCTAATTTTTCTCATTTATAAAGTGGGACTCTAAATACCTACCTCATGGGGTTGTTGTGAGAATCACCTGATGTAATATGTGTAAAGAGGTTATACCTGAAACATACTTAGCAATCATGTTACTGCTACAGGCATTGTTATTATTAGAAAGCACTGACAGTAGCCCTTGGGAAAAATAGTTTCTGCTATCAGGGCACTACAGCCCAAGTAAAATCAGGCTAGATCTTTAGTCAAACTCAACTTGCCGTGGGCTTCATTATCTTGTCTATAGAAAAGGCATCATAATAATTTTGCAAACCTATAATAGAATATAATCTGCAAAAATATTAAATTCCTATACTGTAGTATACCTGAAACTAACACGATATTATAGATCAACTATATGTCAATTAAAAAACTAATTTAATATTTTATGATAGTAAATAACAAGTGAATGCAATTAAAAAATCATTAAATATATACTTTAAATGGGTGGATTGTTTGGTATGTGAGTTATATCTCAGAGTTCTTGCTTATATCTTGCTTATATCTCAAAGCAACCCCCACAGTCATAACCCACTTACTGCTATTTTGTAAGAGAAAGAACAAGTAAAAAAAACAAAACAAAACAAAAAAGCAATTCCACTGTTGGGGTGCCCCCTTGCTGCCCATGCAGAATTCTAGTTTCTTGTAGAGTCTTTCCAAGTATTCTGAAAGTCCCAAGAAAATTGTGCTCAGGAATGAACCCAGTGATTTTTCTGCCTCAGCACCTTTATTCAAGCTCACAGCCCCCAGGCCATTTGAAGGAGACCCCCTTCAGCACCACCACAGTTTCTGTGGAGATGCTGCCTGCAGTCTTGTGAAGCCACCATTTCCCTATTGAAAAGTTGAGAAAGATGCTACCTGCCCTGTCCCTGGGCCCCCTGGGCCCCGGAGCAGCCTCCCTCAACCCAGAGTCTGTCTCTCTTGAAAACAGCTCTCCCCACATCTTTCCTAGTTCCATATCTTTCACTGTAAGAATTCAAAAGTCTCTCGTGTAGCCTTAGCAGGGAGTAGATGTTACACTCCCCTGGCCATTCTCCCACTTCTGACCATCTTTCTTCCCATGAAGCCAAAACAAAACAAAAACCTTTGTTTAGCCCTAAACATAGGGACATATCAGCTAAAGCCAACAGATACAGATACTGGTCGGTCACCAGCCCATCAGCTGAGCCAACAGCCAGATCCTGAGTCCTAGTTTGGGTCAGCTGAGTTCTGGGGCACTAAGTTATCTTCTTAACAAGCTAGTGAATAGATTTGTGCAGTAAACCCTGCTACAAGAAAACAACTTGTATTTGATTGAATTTCTCCTGCCAAGTAATTCATTCCATTTGCACCATGTTTGAGGGTCCCTGCCCCAGCACATGAGATTGTGGTTATAGGAGGAATAAATCATAGATTGACTTTTAGGGTTTTTGATAATTTTCCATATCAAATACTTATGTGTGTGAAATTTATGTTTTTGAAAATCATACCAGAATGATTAGAAAACACAGTAGGAAGTAAAACGTAGATAGAACCATCAACTGAAGGGATGTTATCATTCATGAAATCTCTTTATGAAAAAAAAAATTTGGGGCATAGGAGAAAGAAACAGAAAGCAAAAGGATTATTTAACAATTGTGAATATTTTCCTGTTAGTTCATTTCTTAACTTGAAAATAAACAGGGAGTTACTTTCAGCTGAAACCGAGGGAATTTAGTAGTAAACATTTCCATGTTATTTATGGACGGCTGCCTTTAAAAAATGTGTCAGAGCATGGGTAGCAATGGGCTCAAGGAAGCCTGGCAGGAAGGAAAGTCATGCCTGAGAAAGCGTGGGAAGGAAGAGGTGGTCTGGCAGGTCCCGGTGGCAACATGAGATTAAACCATTCACAAGGTGGGGAGGAGCAGTCTGAGGCAGGCCATGCCGTGGACCCAGGCATCCAGTCACAGCAGCAAGCAAGCAGCCCAGAGGGTATGGAACGGTTCAAGGACAGAGGCTAGTTGCTCTTAACTCTGTTTTTAAGACTACATGATTTCTACACGTGAAGGGGAAATTTTCTAGCTGTAGGACTTGCCCAATCCCACTTCCTCTTAAGTTTGTTGTTGTTGTTGTTATTGCATTATAGGTGCACAAATATTAAAATGATCATCCTACATGATAGACAGAAACCCAGGATCCCGGAGTACTGTCAAACTCCAAAGTGGTCAGGAGACCATAAGCAAATCCATCCTCTATTGGATGGATTGTCCATCTGTTGTGCATCTACTGGAACTGGACAGAATTAGGGAGGTCTTCACATCTGACCAGAACTTTTCTAAACATACCTCCCAGTGAATATAAGTTAGGATTGGGAGAGGTAAAAAAAAAAAAATAGTCCTGATATTAAAGATTTAGATGTATTCAAGATGTATAACAATAAGTCATGCCACACGTATTTAAACACATAATACAGTAATACAGTACAGTGAAAACGTTCTGTGACGAACCATCGCCACCTCACACAGTGTCATGGGGGTTACTTTATGAAGCTTGATTGGCATCAGTAGTGTATGGCCCTGATTGTGAATAAAAACCTCTACTGAAGACTTTCATATTCCTCCAGTGTTGTCTGACTAGCTGGCTTCTGAATCTATGTAGTATAGTTTTTCGTAGACAACTAACATGCCACTGAATGGAAAGAAACAATGGTTGACTTCTTGGATGGTCAACTGGAATGGGTTCAGTCATGACAAGGGGACCCACAAACCCCAAACAGACCCTAGCAGCATCAGACTTTTTTTTAAGAAGAACTACTTTATTCAAATTGTTTCATACAATAAAGTAGATATTCAAATGAACAGGCCAGGATAAACATTTTCCTTGGTTTCATTGAATCAGTTTACCAGAATCAAAGGAAATACAGGAGACTGTATTTCTGTGAAACTTTTACGTCAAGCTAAGGTACTCACATGTGGAGGTTTACATGTTACAAAGCAAGAATATTTTATGTGTGGGTGTTTATGTATAGCATTTATTTTGTGCAGACCCATTAAAACTTTTACACCAAAATGACCTCTTGCCCCTACTCCAAATGGTTGTCAGGGGCTACCTCTTTTACTAGACAGAGTCTGTTCACCTCCTGGCTTGAGAATGTCTTCAAAGATAATCATCCATTAAGTTTTTTACTTTATAGTCACTTCTAATTTTGGTGTAAAGTGGTTTTTGACAGCTGGCTCATTCTCACTAATTAAACACCTCTCTGTATTGTTTTGAGCTATTTCCTTGGTTCATATCTACCTTAAGAATTCAGAACTTGCCATCACTGATGAATTCATGGGTGGGCATCAAATTCTGAGGCTGGTTTCTTAATAATAACACAAAAATCTTTTGTAAAACAACAATGTCACATGCCATTTTATGTCAGTGTATACATTTCTGTGGTTATCTTTAACCTTGTTAAGGATCACGGATTCCCCAAAAGAATATAATGGAAGCCATCTCCTCCCCCCAAAAAGAAATGTATGAATATATGCACACATTTGTATGTCATTTCAAAAAGGTTTATAGACCCTTAGAGATCATTTAGTGATACTCTAGGGTTAAAAGCTTTTGTGCTAAGGTGCCCTTTCAAAAGACATAGCATTTATTTTGATCTATAGAGCAGAGATTCTTTTGAAGAGAAAAATATTAGGTAACTTAATGGGACCAGACATAGCTTGGAACATTAGGGTAAGATCACTGAGGAAAGGAACATTTGAAAGAAGTGAAATAACTTCTGGACCATTTCTTTCCAAGTAAAGAATATTGCCTAACCTCATAAAAAAGATCTTTTCCACAGCAACGCATAGTTATATGGCCACTGATCTCTCTCCAGGAACCTAGGCTACAGTAGAAAGAATGACATGCACTTTGGGAAAGAGCCACTTTCCCCCTGTGTCTAACCCTTAAGTGTGATGTAACAGTCTTTGGAGAAGGAGTTGTGTTTACTTATTTTTTCCTCACCTTAATCTGCCCCTTAGCATATGGTGACTTTTTCTTCTCACAAATGATATGGCTAATTGCAGACAAGAGGATTGCCATTCCTGTGGGCTAGAAGGATTCTGCTCCCTGGTAAATAGCCTAGAGCTTTCGTTAGAGAGAAGGAAGACAGAGGAAAGGGAATTGACCTTTTTTGGTGTGTGTTTTTTGGTCGTTGTTGTTGGGGTTTTTTTTTGTTTTTTTTTTTTGGTGTATGTTCTATGCTGGACTCTGGAGCAGTGCCTTTCATAAGCCTGCTCATGACAAGCAAGAACAACAGGAAAGCAAACTGGACCAAACCCTGAGCCAGTTAGTCCATTTCATTAAGCTTTTGTTTCCTGATCTATAAAATGGATATAATAAAGCTTTATTTAAAGCGATTTTTTTATGATACAGGGGAGAGTGTGTGTCAGATGGTTAGCACGTTCCTAGCACATAATGGGCATACAGTTACCCGCCTCAGTTGATTTTGTATTTTTGAAGGTGATAGTTTTGTTTTAATTCATTCAGAACACAACAGAATATCGTATCACTGTTGCTTTTTAAAACTGGCATCCTCCAACACACAGGCTACACAGTTGGGCAGTGTTTAAATTTTTTTTTAATACTTTTAACACATGATTGTGCCTTCATTTTAGGACACCTAAAATGTTTGGCCCAGATACAAGTTGTATAATCAGGATCTCTGATATATAATCAGGATTATGTAATCCTGGACCCTGAACTCCTGCCGGACATGAAGTGTCACTCTCACTCTGAAACCAGCACCTACCTTAACTTATGAATTCTTTTAATTCATTTGTCACTGATCAGAAATATATTGGCTGACAGCTGAATAACACTGAGTGTGGGGATACAAGACCAAACGTGTCTTGGGAAGGCCCAACTGGCAAGCAGTAGGGAAGAGTTTACTTGCTGGTCTCTGCCTGGCATTGTTCAAACTCTTGCTACGTGGAAACTCTCCGGAGCTTCTGGTCTGCCTGTGTCTGGGGATGGGGCAGCTCTGTATCTTCTGCCTCAGCACCAGCAGGGGTGGGGGGCCAGGGCAGGGGCTTCAGGAGTGTGGATGGAGCATGCAGCCTGTTAGAAACCCTGACTGATAGCAGTGCAGGGCGCCCGGATTCCTGGCACAGATCCTCTCGGTAAGGCAAAGCACCAGGTCACCCTCTGCTTCCATTTCACGGTGGGTGTTTTACTTACAACCTTGGGCTCCCTCGTGGCTCAGAGGTAGAGAATCTGCCTGTAGCACAGGAGACCCGGATTCAATCCCTGGTTTGGGAAGGTCCTCTGGAGAAGGGAATGGCTACCCACTCCAGTATTCTAGCCTGGAGAAGTTCATGGATGGAGGAGCCTGGCGCCCTCTGTGGGGTGCCAGAGTTGGACACAACTGAGCGACTAACACAACACTTTTGTGTATAACAGGTTGGCTCCTTGTTATAAGTCAGCTCTCTTGATGATCTTCTTCTGCCGTTAACATGTGTGTTTTCCTGTTTTCTGGACCCCGTGTCTTCAACTCAAGTCCCCACACTCTCATAGACCCAAACCCACTAACATTCCACCCTGGGGGAAACTGAACTGCATTTTTGTCATTTCATTCCTGGCCTGTCTGTCCTTTTCATGGAGGATATTTTGACTTTTTTTTAGGGCCCTTTCACAAGATGATCAAGATGACATCCACCTAAAACTGGAGGATATAATTCAGCTGGTAAGTTGAGCCGTAGTCTTATCCTGCACAATTAAGTATATGTGAGACTTTACCTTGCAAAGGCAGGCACTGTGCCCACAGCTGGTAACTGGGGTCCGGACTATATGTTCTGTCCCCAAAACTGTATGAAAGGGACCAGATTTGGCTCGATGTTTAACATCATGGTCAGTGATGTTAATGCTGCCTGATATCTCTGAGCTCTCTGCCATGTTCTTCAGAGCTGGAATCTGGGGTGGACTTGGAACTCCAGCAGCTGCGGTGAGCTGACGGGCACCTGGCCTCCAGGTGTGTGCTATTCCCTGCCCTCATCTCTTGCAGACCGACTGTCCGAAGGCCGAGTGCTTTGAGACCTTGTCGGCCATGGAGCTGGCTGAGCAGATAACCCTGCTGGACCACATCGTTTTCAGAAGCATTCCCTACGAGTGAGTGTGCACACACGGCAGCAGTGCCCCCCCCACCCCCCACAACCCCATGTGTGTGCACAGGCTTTTCATCTGATGATGGTTTGGACCCACTTGAATGTCTTTGGGTTCCTGTTTATGTTGAAAATGTCGGTACAGAAATATTGGAGACTCTCAAGATGGCCACCCTTATGTTGCTGTATGTACTGCGGTTAAACGTAGAATGTGAGTTTCTCTGACCGCTCACACCCTAACGTTATAGAAAACTTCATGCAGCTTATAGAAAAACTTCATGCAGTTATAGAAAACTTCATGTAACGGTGGTTCTTAGACTTCATGGTGCCTAAAATCATTTGGGAGACTTGTTAAAAAATGTACATTCCTAGGTGCCTCCCTCAGAGATTCTGATTCTGATAGGTCTGAGGCCCAAGAAAATTCATTTTCCATGAGAATCCCAGGTAATTCTGTGTGGTCCAGGACTATATTTTGAGAGACATGGATGTTGGGTCAATGCTGTAAATTCCGCTGCAGTTCTTCAGCCACATCCATAAATCCTCAAGTACTGCTGACCGTGGAAACTCCACAGCAAGATAGATTCCCAAGACAGTGCTTGGCACACAGCGCGTGTGGAGTAGGTATGTGCCGAATGGATGCTGTCACATAACAAGCATCATTGCCTCATGTATAGAGGATGGTGGCTCTTTCAGCCCCCTGCCCCCAACAGTCCTCCAGCAGGTCCACACAAAAAGCCTCTGTTTGGACAAATAACAACTGTTGGCCCAAATCCTCTGTGAAATCATAGCTAGATGGGAGGCAAGGGAGAGGCCGAGCAAGACATCTAAGTGTGGTCCATGTCGTGTGTAGAGAAGAGGGCCCCGTGATGATGGAGGCTCTGGCGTAGCAGGATGGGGGCTCAGAGCTACAGCTAGGTCAGGGGGCATAAAGAGCAGGGCTAGAGATGCTCCTGCAGACTTTTCTGTTATGCGTTTGTCTTATTTCTCTCCTCCTCTCTCAGCACTTGTAGACCTATCCATGACAGGGTGAAGTCAGTCAGGAAGAGAAAGACAAGTATCATATATTAATGCGTATATGTGGGATCTAGAAAAATGGTACAGATGAACTTATTTGGAGGGTAGAGATAGAGACGCAGGTGCAGAGTGCAGACATGTGGGCCCAGGGGGAGGGGGATGAACGGGAGGTTGGGACTGACGTATATTCTGCCATGTGTATAACAGGGAGCTGGGGGAGCCTGCTCTGTAGCACAGGGAGCCCAGTTCAGTTCTCTGTGATGACCTAGAGGGGTGGGATGGGGAGGGGGGAGGTCCCGGAGGGAGGGCATGTGTGTATCCATATAGCTGATGCACTTCCGTTGTACAGCAGAAAGTAACACAGCAGTGTGAAGGAACTATACCCCAATTCTTTACAAAAAATTAAATAAATAGCATCTTCCATTTAAAAAAAGGAAAGTGGCCCCAAGGCTGAAAAAATGAACCCGTTAACTATGGAATGACTTGAGTTAGGAGTCTCTTCGCCTTCCTCCTGACTGCCCTCCTGTGTAATGAGGATTCAGGATGGAGGGGGCGTGACTCCTATGGAGGCCGATAAAGAGCAAAGCCTGAAACTTTGCAGTTGACCGTGTTGTGGTCTCTTCCTGGGGCACTTCTCACCTCTCCTCCTTGCCCTCTCTGTGCCACCGTGAACATGGACCAGTTATTTGCATCTGTGGAGTGAGCACATCTTTGTATATAACAGCCTTGCAGAACGGGAACAGTACCGTCCACATCACGGGACAAAGGTCCTTGCCCAGGAACCCAGTCAATATTTCTGGATTGAGAATGTGTCAGAGTAATTTCATTTTAAGTTCTTTTTGGTAGTGCCTCGACGAAATAATTCCTGTATGCTCCAGCTTGCTTGTCCCTTGCTTGCTGTGATCCGGTGGCCTGCTCATGAACGAAAGGAAGGAGCAGGAGTGTTATTTAGAAGACCGACTTTCCACCAGGCTGAGCTCCCCCTGCCATAACTGCCTTCCTCAAATGACCAGGCTGCAAAGTGCTAACACTAGTGTTTGCTCTTTTAGCCCTTACCACGTGTGCTGTTCTGGGCTCTGGGGAGAGCAGAGGAAAGTCCCTGCCTGGAGAACGTCAGAGTATAGTGGAGGAAAACATGCTGTTGATGATTAACATTTTTGGTAGCGATGAATTTTTTGAGCCTTCTGCTAAGCCTTAAGATTTTTTTAAGCTGATTCAGGGGGAATGGTCTTGGTTTCTGAGTTAGTACTTAGCCTCTTTATTCCTCTTGTCATTGTTTTCCAATTTCAGAGAAGCCTTTATTATGATCCTAATAGGGACCCAGTTCCAAACACTTATCCCCTGGAGAAGGAAATGGCAACACACTCCAGTATCCTTGCCTGGAGAATCCCATGGACAGAGGAGCCTGGCGGGCTACAACCCATGAAGTCGCAAAGAGTTGGACATGACTGAGTGACTATCACTCACTCACTCACTCCAAATATTTATAAGAGAAAGCTGAAAACTGAAAAATCTCTTTCTTTTTGGCATCCAGTGGTACAACAGTAGAATTTAGCTAAAATTCATTCGAGATGAAGCAGCAGCAGTTGAACAGTGTAAAGTTTAATTTATATAATAGTCATAATAGTTATTCAGGACCATAGGTACCCTTAAAAAACTTAATTGATTTTGTGTTTTGCTTTGAACTTTCAGAGAATTTCTTGGGCAGGGGTGGATGAAGCTGGATAAAAATGAAAGAACACCTTACATTATGAAAACCAGCCAACACTTCAATGATGTGAGTAACCATAAAAATAAAACCTTGGGCGGGAGTGTTATAGGAAGATGAGTATCAGAGTCTGCAGACTCCTTCACTAAATTAAAGGAAGTCTGCCACTCACTTCTACAACAAAACTGATGGGGTGTTAAAAAATAAGCTTAAATCTCTTCTATGAGTTCACAGTGATGTGATAACTTCCAGTTACCTTTCAGTCCTAAGAGGTTCACTTTGGTGGTACACACATCTGATGAATGCTCAGTGATGCATAGGTGTCGTTGTTTAATTGCTGAGTTGTGTCCAACTCTTTGTGACCTCATGAACTGCACCCCTCCAAGCTCCTTTGTCCTCCACTATCTCCTAGAATTCACTCAAATTCATGTCCATTCAGTCAGTGATGCCATCCAACCATCACATCCTCTCCCACCCTCTTCTCTTCCTGCCCTCAGTCTTTCCCAGCATCAGGATCCTTTCCAGTGAATCAGCTCTTTACATCAAGTGGCCAAAGTACTAGAGCTTCAACTTCAGCAGCAGTCCTTTCAACGAATATTTAGGGTTGATTTCATTTAGGATTGACTGGTTTCATCTCCTTGCAGCCCAGGGGACTCTCAAGCATAGGTCGTTGCTTGTATTTTTATCATGGTCATCATTACTTCATGGTCCTAGATCGACTAGTTCTAACTGCACTTTGTCACAGGCCCCTGGTGGTGCTGGTGATAATAAGGCTGTTTTGGTACAGCTCTTCTTCATTACTACTGAACATTCAGTCCCAGTACATTCCAGGGTGGGAAGGGACCTCTGAGCATAATTACAGTGCTTCTGAGGCTGTGTGCAGTGGTAACCAGCTGTCGGTCCGTCTCCTTCTCTACTCTTCTGCAGCAGTAAGATGGAGTTGCTTTTATACCCTCCAACGACCTGTTGGTGCTATTCTAATGGTCTTGGTCCTATGGAAGAACCACAGATGTTGGAGTATCTTCAGGCCTATGCAGGCAAAGGGAAGGCTACCGTTTCAATTCTACTAAACTTTAGTAAAAGGGATAATGGTAAAAAAAAAAAAAAAAGACTACCAGGGACCCTATAGGTAAAATATTAAATCATTCAGAATCAGAATACAAAACAGTGAAAATTCTCAGTACAGTTTTTCTGTCTTTCTGAGGGTACATGCATATTAGATGTTATCACACAATAAGCATCAATGCAGCTGCTTCCTAAAGGATAGGACACGTGACCCATTTGAACGACTCTCTGAGAAACAGAGGGCTTGCTGTGGACCATAAACCATTTTTCTTTTTTTTTTTGCCTGTGTTGTCCATATACTGGGGATGTAATGCCTCTCAAATCAGAGGTCCAGATTATGGGTCCCAGATTGTGGGTCCCAGATTGTGAGTCCCAGGCTCCAGACCCACAGCCTCTACTTGAAACCGCTTGATTGGCCACTGTGTCCAGATTGCAGGTGGAACTCATCATCAGCCCCTCCCAGACCTGCCAAGCCTGCATCTTCATCTTATTCTCTGTTCTTGATCATGGGTAATGGCCCTGCCAGCCACTCACTCACTCAACCTTGGAGTCTTCCCCACCCTGCTCACACCTCTGGATACCAGTGAGCCCTAAGTCTACCCATGTCTCAGACCCTTCTTTCCCCTCCCTTCCCATGGCCATAACCTTGATTTGGCCTTTCGTGCTCTTCTCCACAAGTTCCTAACTCACCAACCCCCACCCCAACGCCAGCTCGCTGCCACCCAACCCTTTCTTCACACGGTGTCACAGAAACAACTTCTCTCGAAGGCGCATCGAATTATAATCCGGTCTGTGATGACATTTTGTCCACGGCTTTTCCTCTTGCCTTCTTGGTACTGCCGCAGCCTCTCAGCCTGGCCTGCAGGAGCCCGCCCACCTGCCGTCCTTGTCTCTCCCCGTCCCCCGAGCTCCTCACAGCTGTCCTGCCAGGCCCCCCACGCCGCCACACCTTCCCTCCCTGTCCTTTCGCGGACGCTTGGATGGGAGACAGTGATTCCTCCTGCTCCTTCAGGATTCAGGGCAGGCGTGATCTCTTTCCAGAAGCCAGCATCTGCCCCATGCTGCCTCCAGTTCTCAAGCTCCCCCCATCCCCACCCTTAGGTTTGCATCTCACTGTGTGATATTTACTTGATTCTGTCTGACTTCCCCTCACCTTCCCACCTAACCATGCCTAACCAGGCTCAGCACCCTAAGGTCAGGGAGACCGATTTATTTGTTTTTCCTGTTCCCCAACCTAAAAGAATGCCTAGTCCTTAGTAGGTGCTCGTTACAAAATAATTCCTCGTTTGTCTGATGAATATGCACATGTGGAGGCCCTGTGACTTAAGACGCTCATGCTTCTGCTCGGTCATGTCTGACTCGCTGCAGCCCCAAGGTCTGCAGCCCACCAGGCTCCTCTGTCCACGGGGTTTCCCAGGCAAGGATACTCGAGTGGGTTGTTATTCCCTTCTCCAGGGGATCCTCCCAACCCAGGACTGAACGTACATGTCCTGCTTTGGCAGATGGATTTTTTTCTTTTCTTTTCTTTTTTTATCACTGAGCCACTTGGGAAGCCCATGACCTAAAATACCTATGGGATTATCAAAGAATGGGTATACTCATCAGATTTAGTGTATGGATAGGAGATTATGGATCTTATATTCCCCTTGTTTGTTATCAATCCTCTTCTGTCCTTTTCCTTTCCATTTTCTAAGTCTTGAGCTTCTTAAGCTGCCTCTTTTTTTCTCTTGGCTTTAACTAATAGAATTACAGCACTTAGCTTTGAAACTATAGGTCCCTTTCACTGCTTGTGGAAAAAAAAATCCTGCAAGAAGGTGAAAATGTTCTCTTCCCCTGCACCATGCGTTTCTGGTTTGAGAGTTGGTAGGTTAAGAGTTTGATTTGATTGGAGGAAAATGTGTTTTCTTTCTCTGTGATGGTTGAGGCTTCCACGAGTGACTATCCCCATGTTGTTGGGACCCAGGGAACATGGGGAGAGGCCCCAAGAAGTGAAACCTCTGGTCTGCAAAGGCTGCCGTTCCTCAGGGGAATAGCTCATCCTATGCCTTTCTTTCAATAATTATTGGAAATGACTTCTTCATCAAAATTACTGATTAACAAAATCACCTCTTCCCCCAACAAACTGATCCCAAACAACTCCTCTCTTCACTCTCAGAATGAGAATGATTATTGTTAATAATGTTAATAATAATAATGTTATTATTACAGACTTTAGTCTCTTCAGAATCTGGTTGGTATCTACAACAGACCATGTCCCAAAGGAGAAATTGCAAATATGTATTTGTCAGTTCACTCAGGGCAAATTCTGTTGTACCTCCTCCTGAGGAAAATTTATTAAACACTTACAAATTAATATATTTCACTGAAAAAATAAAACTCAGTTAAGCCCCTCAAAAAAAAAAAAAAAGGACCATGATCTCGCGTCCCTTGACACTCGCTTTCCGGACATTTCTGTAGGCGATTCAGCTATTGTGCCTGCATGAATGGCTTTGGCTCTTAGCTGGCCTCTCTTGGCTTTTCCATTGTCTCAGATGAGTAACCTGGTGGCCTCCCAGATCATGAATTACGCGGATGTCACCTCCCGAGCCAACACAATTGAGAAGTGGGTGGCGGTGGCGGACATCTGCCGGTGCCTGCACAACTACAACGGCGTGCTGGAAATCACCTCAGCCTTAAACAGAAGTGCCATCTACCGGCTGAAGAAAACCTGGGCCAAGGTGTCCAAGCAGGTGAGCGCCAGGGGGCGACACCTCCCTCTGCCGGGAGGAGGAGAGTCTGGGAGACCAGAGCCAAGATAAATATTGCTGATTAGGAAATAATTAGCTGAAATGAGCAGCTCTGTTGGCAAAGGAAGGTGCCAACATGGGTGATTACTGTGTTCTTACCACTTAATTGATCCCTCTTATGCACGTTTCTAAATGGTTAATTTAGGGGAAAAAATACAAATCAAAATATTCATCTTAATTGTATTTTAATTGGACTCAGCTTGTTCATGCTTTTTGCTTTCATTCAGATAATTTGAAGATTCAAGTGACATCACCATTTGCCTCCTGGTCTTTGCCATGGGTGTCAGTGGATGTTGGGTGTTGGGGAGGGCTTCTCTGGGCTCCTGGGAGGCTGCGTGCCCCCACTGGTTTCCTGCTGTAGTCTCTGACTGATTAGTCGTTGGGTACAAGGCACTGTGAATTGCCTGTGCCTGGTGTTCAGATGGCAAGCCTACCCCATCAGGAACATGGTGTGGTTATTGTACCCAGGGAGCTTGGCTGATCTCACAGCTCTCACTGGCTCCGCTGGTTCTCTGAGACGGGGTGTGTATCACCTCTACTACAGGCTGCCCTTCCCCTTGCTGATTCCTGGTGGGCAGGCTAACTCTTCTTTACTATTAATAAATAACTCGTTTGACCCTCTCAAAGGGTGTTGGGGGAATTTTCTAGGCTCCTCCATGTTCTGTGGGTACCAGAGGCTAGAGGTGTCTTGCCAGGGCCTCTCTGCACATCCTTTTCCGACAGATCACTATGCCCACCTTGTTGTGACCACCTCGAGTTGGTGAGGGGCATCTTCAGGGTGCCCACCTCAAGGGTTTCAGGCAGGAAGAAGAGCATATATTCTGCTGACATTTCCTCAAAACTATCTGGTTTCTGTTGCTCCTTCTGAGGGTTCAAGCCCCTTTCAGAGACACCACTTCTTACTCTATCTTCTATTCCTTCTCCAAGCCTTTTAAGTTCCTCCCTGTGTAGCAAGAAACCAAGCCTAAGCGATCTCTTTTATTCCCTTCCCCACCATTCCTTAGTAAAAATGGAGTGCTTTGAGAATCCCAAATTTGGCTCCTGAAACTAGCAGACTCTTCTTCTATGACAAAAAGCCTGGACATTGCAAACAATATCCATAGCTTTTATAAAAACTGTTTAAAAAAAAAAAAAAACTTTTAACGTTGAGATCTTTGTCGGTTCATATGAAATTGTAAGAAATAGTAGAAATCCCCTCCACCCTCCACCCAGTGTCCCCCAATGGTTATGTCTTGTGTAACTATAGACAGTATCACAAACACAAATTAACCATTGGTACCATCCACCAGCCTTACTCAGACTTCATCTGTTCCACCGGTACTCGTGTGTGTGTTATGCATGTGTTTAGTTTTATGTGCCTTTATTACACAGGGGGTAGATTCACTACAGTCAAGATATTGAAGAGTTCTATCCCCAGGATACCTCCTGCCACCCTTATAGTCACAGCCATCTTCCTCCCTGTCGCTCCCTAACTCCTGGCAACCACAGATCTGTTTTCCATCTCTATAATTTTGTCATTTCAAAAATGTTATATAAATGGAATCATAGAGTATATGACATTTTGAGATTGCCTTTTTTATTTTTATTCAGTGTAATTCCTTTGAGATCTGTTCAAGTTGTTACACATATCAGTACTTAGTTCCTTATTTGATTTAACCATTCACCCCTTGAAGAACATCTGGGTTGTTTTTAGTTTTAGCTATTACAAATGAAGCTACTAGGAATATTCATGTATAGGTTTTGTGTGACTATAACATTTCATGTCTCTGGGATAAATGCCATAGAGTGCAGTCGCTAGATCATATGGTAATTGTGCATTAAGTTTCATAAGAAACTGCCAGACTTTTCTAGAGAGGTTGTACCATTTTACATTCCTCTCAAGAAGGTATGAATGAACCAGTTTCTCTACATTCTTGTCAGCACTTGATGCTGTCACTATTTTTCATTTTAGCCATTTTGATATTTCATCATTGTTTTAATTTGCGTTTCCTAACAGCTAATATTGGTGAACATCTTTTCATGTGCTTCTTTGCATCTTCAGCAAAATGTCCGTTCATGTCTTCAGATCAGTTTTTAATTAGGTTCCTTGGGTTTTTTTATCTTTGAGATTTGAGTTCTAGACTCTTTCCCCTTTATTCTTCTCTTTCAAAATTTTAGCTACCCTAGATGCTGTGACCTTCATATACATTTTAGAGTAAAAACTGTGTCTTAAAAACTCTACTGAGATTTCCGGTGGAATTCCATTAAATCAGTCAATTTGGGGAGAATTGACATCTTTACTATATTAAATCTTACAGTCCATAAACACAGTATTTCTCACTACTCTTTAGATTTTCTTTGAATTCTTAAATCAACATTTTGAAATCTTCAACATATAAGTCCTGTATATGTTTCATTAGATTTATGCCTAAATACTTCATTTTCATTGGAGATATTTTAAATATAATTGTGGTTTTAACTTGGGTTTCCATGTATTCATTGTTAGTATATACAGATATAATTGATTTTCCTCTGTTCTTATACCTGTAATGTTGCTGAACTCACATTAGTCCTTAGGGCTTTTCTATAGATTCCGTGGGATTTTCTACATAGGCAGTTAGTTATGTCAGTTGTTTATTTCCAACTTATATACCTTTTATTTCCTTTTCTTGCCTTCTTGCTCTGGCTAGACTTTCCAATGCTACGTTGAATATGATAGTAAGAAAGAACATTCTTTCGTGTTCTCGACCTTGGGGTGAAAGCTTTCAGTTTTTCACCATTAAGAACAATGTTAATTATGTTTTTTTGTAAATGCTTTTTTATAAAGTTGAGGAAGCTACCCTCTCTTCATAGTTTTTGAGAGATTTTATGATAAATGGGTATACTATTTTTTAAATAGGCTTCAAACAGCTATATCAGAATCCAAAACCTGGACACTGATGCCTTTGTCAGGGCTGGGTTTTGCCTCCCTCTAAAGCAGTGATTGCCTCAGCCATTGGGTGCTGGATGCCCAGAGTCTATCATCTTGTCATACATGCCACACTTTCATCAGGGTCAGCAGGTCACTCCTCTGCCTATTCTTTTCTGCATTCTGATTCTCTCTTCCTCTGAAGTTGGCACCTTGTTAAATCTACTTTAGGCCTTCACTGTGGTTAACTTAAGCGATATTCATGTCTTTGGCAGGATGCAAGGTTAGGAATAACTGAACTGACTATGGAATTGAGATGATAAGGCCAATGTTGAAATTATTTTTTAAAATTTGAATATATTACCTGTAGAGACATTAAATAGAACTTACCATCTTGGTCACATATATAGATCACTCAAAGCAGCTTTCATGTGAATAATGGGCTATCCTAGAGGACCCAGTGCCTCAGACCTGTCATAGGCAGGGCCTGGTTGCAGATATGCCCTGCTTTGGACACTTTTGTTAACATCACCAGCGGTATAGCTGTCTTTTCTGCTGATCTGAGTCTAGTCTGGGAGACATCCAAGAGGCCTGGTAGAATATGTTCTCTGAAGCCCACCAAATTTGGTCTGTGGCTGTAGGACAGTTATTTCTGCAGCTTCTTTGAGGGAAGGCCAGCCAGGGGCCAGGCAGGAGACCTGCCCAACCCCCCCAACCCTCCACCCCTGTTCACGCCATGCTGGCTGTCTTTTCTCAGAGCCCTCAGGAACCAGGATGGGAAGGCAGACCCTGGAGTCACTCTGGAAGCTCTCGTGGGGCCTTGCAGCTCCTCTCTAGACTGAGACAGAGTTGCCTGAGGAGCCTAAGTCTTGGCTTCATTCCAGATGCTTCTCCTAGCAAAGCTACCTGGATGTGGGTAATGCCGTAAGTGGGTATTATCATCTCCAAGGGCCACCCTACCATTCTTCCAGGTACATAGAGGAAACTCTAGACCAATGTCATCAGCAACTTTATTTCTTGGTAAATATCAATTATTCTTTTCTAATAAATTGACGAAGATGAACACAAAGGATTTGAAGTAGAGGGTATTGGTCAGTCCGCAGCCAAGCAATATAATATGTGCTTTGATGACTTGGAAATTAGCAGTCAGAAAGATTGATCATGAAAACCCCCTGACACAGGACCTCTCTTTTAAGATCCCCTATTCTGTATATTCTTTCCAGGTCTTTAAGTTCCTAAGTTTTCTGTGCATTACAATTTTTCTTTTCTATACATTTTCTCTCTTTTAAATGTATAAAAAAATGAGTTAGTATCATCTCATGTTCTTTTTTAACAAATGAAATTTAAGTACATCTCCATACTTTGAAAATCATATCACGTCATGATAGTCTGGCAATGGTATCGTACCTGCCACTATAGAAAACAACTGAGCAACTTTCGGTAACTCACCACCGTATCAAACCATGGGGGTGTTTTCATGATATACTGTTATTTGTTTCCTTCTAGACAAAAGCTCTCATGGACAAGCTTCAGAAGACTGTTTCGTCTGAAGGAAGATTTAAAAATCTCAGAGAAACCCTTAAAAAGTATGTCTATTTTGTTAAATTATTCATAATTCAGAAGTATTTTTATAGTATACAAATAGTGGCCTACCTCATACTTTTCTTTGGAAAGAAAAACAAATGGGACACAACTTCTATCAGTGGTTTTCTGATTTTCCTTTTCATTTGGAATACCATGTGTACAGTAAGCGTCTTATGGATATACTCATGGTCTGCAGAGCGTTCCAATAAGAAAATGTCGCCATAGTAAATCTTTTACTATAAAAAGTTTCTTTATTTGGTATTTCCTAATCTAAACACAGTGATTCCCTGTGATTCTTTATTTGAATATTCCAGTCCCTATTGCTTTTGTTTTTTATTTTTTGCTTTTTATTGCTGGATCATTTTCTCATTCTTCAGACACAGAGGGGGGGGGAGGGAGAACAGAGTACATCCTTCTGCAATTTGTTTTCTAATGACCTGCCACATGTACTTCATTTACTCTGGAAAATTTTGTCCTGTGATGTCATGACTGAAAGAAAGATTTAAAGTAACAACCGCAATAGGATAAGAACTATTAACTGAAGACTGAATAAATGATAGACTCTATGCTAAGTGCTTGATGTGTTTTGTTTAAGCCTTGCAGCAAACTAGAGATAAAAGTTTCATTGTCTCCCTTTCACAGACAAGGAGACTGCAGTTCAGAGAGTTTGCCCGCCATCACTTAGTAAGTAGGCAAGCGGGGACTCAAACTCAGTTCCCCCTGGATTAAAAGGCCATGTTCTCAACCTCTAGACTCTGAGAGTGCACCTTCCAAACAAAGAAGGTCTCACTTTAGTGTGCAGGTGTGATATTAAGTCTATACCTTCTAAAACATTTAAATACTAACTAAAACAGAAAGCTAGTTTTGCAAGTGTTAATCACATTGATTTTTCTACCCACTTCTTCAAGGTTGAATGTTTGCACTTGAATGAGGTGAGGGCATGGGGTTTTCCTACATGCTTTTATATCTCTAATGGTGTGGCCAGTTGACAAGCACTGCAGGCAAATGCTACAAGCAAGTCCTGTTAGCAGATGTTTTGTATTTGTCTGTAAGACATCCTGCTGTTTGAAGTACCATTGTCTAAAACACATAGTAAAGCATGAGCTATAATTTTGTTTCATACTCTATTGTAAGACATACTTAAACCTCTGCATATCATGAGCATGCTTCTGAACATGGACTTAAAAGACTTCTTTTCTTCAGGAGGGGAGCAGCACAACTGCTTCCTGCTGAAACTGGGGCGGTGGGTGGACACCTGTTGGATGGGCTTGCGAACGGTGCCTCTTGGTCTTTCAGTTGTAACCCGCCTGCTGTTCCTTATCTGGGGATGTACCTGACCGACCTGGCGTTCATTGAAGAAGGAACACCAAACTTTACTGAGGAAGGCCTCGTCAATTTCTCCAAGATGAGAATGGTGGGTTCGCGTTTCATGCAATCAGCCTGTCTCGGCGACCTGAGTGGCTTATAGAGAAGAGGCAATGTCACGGAAGAGTGACCATTTGCTTTTTCATCTTGACCTTTTTATCCGACACTGGGCCTGATACCCCATGTTGGCTGATTCAGGAGATTTTCGCAGTCCTCTTTCAGCTGGCAGGCTAGACAAAGAGGGTGGGGAATAAAGCCCCAGGGATGACTTTCTGAGGCTGAGCAGTGATAGACAGATGCTGAAGGCTTCTTGCAGGACAGCTCAGTTCTGAGCACGAAGTTTGAAGTGAGGAGCCCATGGACTCTAGCGCCCCATGCTTGCCACCTGAGGATACCCCATGCCAGCTGTTTCCCTGATTGAGAATTCAGTATCCTCTTGCTAGTAGCATTTCTCGTGGCTCATTGCAGGCAAAAAAGCCCTAGGGCTAGGTCATGATGGAGCAGGGCTCCAGACACCTCGTTGGATGGAGTAAGTGACTGACTGCTCTGGAACAGGCTCCCAGAAAACTTTGCTGCAACACAGGGCAATGCTTATGCCTCGCTTCTGTTGTTTCTCCATCAGATATCACACATCATCAGAGAGATACGCCAGTTCCAGCAGACCTCCTATAGAATCGATCATCAGCCAAAGGTAATTGTGTATGCTTGTCAGGGAATTTAAAGAAGAAAAAAGTGGAAGTTAATTCATTGGAAACAGCAGTAGAGTAGGTCAATAATACCAAAAGCCAACTCAAAGAAAAGACCAAAAAGACAGACAAACCTTTGGTAACTCTTATTAAGAAAAACAAGAAAGAAAGCAAAAAGAATATCAATTCATCATCAAACTCTATCTATTTTATATCCAGTATTTCTTGTGAAGCTGTCCACACCACCACCACCACCCCTGGTCCAAGCTACCAATATCTGGTACCTGGTGTACCGAATGCAAATCCATTCTACAAATTTACAGCCAAATAGGACCCTCTGAAACACACAGTGGGAGTTGTTTGCCCCTTGCTTAAAATATATTATTGGCTTCTCTTTGCTCTTAGGCTAAGGAAAGAAAAAAGAAACAATCCTGATATGTCCTAGAAATCTTGGATTATGTGATCCCTACTCATCTTCCAAGACTCATCTCACGTCTTTATCCCCTTCTTCTCTCCATCCCAACAATAATTGATGTTTATTACCTTTTTCTTTCTTCCTTTCCTTTTCTTTCTTTCCTTTCCTCTTTTCTTTCTTCATTTTTCATTTTGTAATAGATGTTATTTTTTAGAATCATTTTAGCTTTACAGAAAAATTCAGATGGTAAGATAGAAGATTCCCATTTAACACACAGCTCATCATCCCTGTTATTTCATGGAACTTGACATACTTATTATGAAACTCATAAGGAAGCTTTGAGAGGCAAAAAAAAAAGATAAGAACTTTTTGAAAAATAAGAAGAGTAAGGGAGAGCCTTGCCTACCAGATACAGACACTAACTGTGGTGAATAGAAGAGGGCTGTCTTGGCAGCGGGATACAAACTCAGTGGAGTGGGATAAAGTCCAGGTGCAGATTTTGTCTATATGAGAACTTAATATGGGATAAAGGAGACATTTAAAGAAAGTGACAGAAAGAAACTGACCATTGTGTAAATGAAAGAGGAATTTTGGCTCTCCATCTTATCCTATTCAAAAAATAAATTCCAGATGAATTCACTACTTTATTATAAAAATAAACATTACATTATTTTGATAAAATAATATAGGACAATATAATATTGACAAAATAAAATATTCATGATCTTTGGATTTGAAAGACCTTCTTAAACACAGAATGTGAAAGCTATAGAAGATGAGGTTGATAAAGTTTGCTGAATCAAAATCTAAAACTTCTATTTGACAAAGGGCAATTGTTTAAAAAGTCAGAGTACAAGCAGTAGACTAGGAGACAATGTTTGTAACATAAAAAAGATATAGAATAAAATTATTCCTATAAAGAACAGTATTGCTATAAATCTATAAGAAAAATCATAAACAATATTGACAAAGCTATAAACAGGTGATTCACAGAAGAAGAAACAAAAATGCCCAGTACATATTTGGAGAATGCTCAACTTCATTAATAAGAAAAATACAAATTATGAAACATCATTATCAGCTTATCAGACAGACATATTTTTAAAATATCGTTAACAGCAAACATTAGTTATGATATGGGATAATAGATACTCTCATGTACTATAGGCACAACAGTTTTGGAGGTTATTTTATTATTTTTTTTATTAAAAATTGATATACCAAGTAACCAGAATTCTCATACATTGCTGGTGAGAGTAACATGGTACAACCTCTTTGGAAAAGTGTATCCTTTGGAGGTTTCTGAAAATGTTAAATATGCGTATTTAACTTAAATACCTTATGACCAAGGTATTTATCCACGGGGGAAGTGAAAACATGCTCATAAAAAGTTTCACATAAAATGTTTATAGCATTTCTTAATAATAGCCAAAAATTGGAAACAGCCCAGGTGTCCATAAATAGATGAATGGATAAACAAATTGTGGTGTATCTACACAGTGGACCCACTGCTCAGCAGTCGAAGATGACAACCAGTGACACACACCACAACATAGGTGAATCTCAGCACATCATGCAGAGTAAAAGAGACCAGACCTGGAAGAGCACATGCTGTGTGGCTCCGCTTACTTGAGGTTCTAGAGCAGACAGAACCGACACAGGTGATAGAAATCAGAGCAGTGATTGCTTCTGGCAGTAGGCTGATTGGGAAGCTGCATGAGGGAACTTTCTGGGGTGATGAAATTATTCTCTAGCATGCTATATATGTAGCTTGGTTGTTGTTTAGTCGCTAAGTCGTGTCCAACTCTTTGCAACCTCGTGAACTGTAGCCCTCCAGGCTCCTCCGTCCATAGGATTTCCCAAGGAAAAATACTGGAATGGGTTGCTATTTCCTCCTCCAGATATATAAGTTACATGGGTATTTACTTTTGTCAAAACTAATCAAAGTATTAATTTTACTTATGTCTGCTGTATCTCAGTAAAAATGAAGAGATATTTTTTTCTGTTTAGAACCTGTTCTAACATGTTCATTTCCATGTCCTTTCGTTTCATTTCTGGTGTGGAACCATTCACATGTGAGCACTAGGGAGTATGCTAACAAGGACTTCACTGTAACTCTGTGTCATAGTGAAATATTGGTGGCAGCCCATCAATATGGGATCGTTAAATAAACTCTGATATGTCACACTCATGATACAGCAGTGAGAGCTCATTGTATGACAGGAGGAGACCCACAACTTCTAGTCTAATGAAAGCGGAATAAAATGTACCCTTGTGATACCATGTATTAGAGGAAAAATGATTTCTGCAATGTCTGGAAAGATACTGAAAAATATCTGGGAGAATACAAGCCAACTGATAACAGTGATGCTACTTGAGGGCAGTGCCTAGAGTAGGGAGTTAAGAGGGGACCAGAGATGTTTTTTTTAATACAGTCAGAATATATTCCTAATGTCTTTTAGTTACATCAAGTATTTCGGTGCTTGGGAGAAAATGTTGAACTGTGTCAGGCTCCATTCAGAAAATGTACCTCTGGTGCTGTGAAGGAACTCAAAGCGGGGATATCCCTTTCTTCTCCAGGTCACTCAGTACTTGCTTGACAAAGCCCTCATCATAGATGAAGATACGCTGTATGAGCTGTCACTAAAAATTGAACCTCGGCTCCCTGCTTGACGATCCGACCTTGCCCCGAGTCCGTGGAATTTTCATGGAAAGCAGAGCGGACAGAACTGTGCATGCCACGCCTCCCGCAGTGCTGAGAGGACAGGGGCGTGGAGACAAAGCCAGTCTCCTTAGTGCCCCAAAGATGACGGAGCCAAACCAGAACCCTGTCTCCAGCCAGGGAAGCCCCGCTGGTTGGGATCAAGGACAGATGCTTCAGACTTGGGTGGGAAGCTGAAGAGAGTGGTGTTTGGTAAAGCTGAGGGCGTGCTTGCCTGAGGGAGTATAAGCTGGGAGGTGCCGGTAGCCATTTTAATGCAGCAGGTAAGAAGGGGAATTTCAAGTTGTGCCCCGTCTTCTGTTAAGAACTCAGGGATAAAGGTCCATGGAAAAGGCTTGTGATGTTTCGCTGGCACTTCACTGGCCTGGGGCACCTCCCAGTTTTCTCCTAGGATTTAACTGCTTCTCTTACATTTCCTTTGTTCCAGGCTTCCAGAAGCGCCGAGGCTGTCTCTGTGGGGACGGGCTGACACATGAGCAATTTCAATCCTCAGCATGTGCATGGTTCTCAGTGCATCATAAATATTTATACTGGAGAAATGGCATGTTCTGAAACTGCCCTTTCAGTCTTTAGGCAACAGGACAGGAAAGACATGTTGAAAGTCAAATGGATTTGTATGTAACATTTCCATAACTTAGAACTCAATAGCTGTGCCCCCAAAGAGTCCAGCCACGTGGGGGACTTCCTCCTGAGGCTGTGCAGTTCAGGAAGTCGATGCCATTGAGAGGCGGGTGCAGGCTTTGCAAAAAGATGCCCAGGCGCCCCACGAACAAAACTGTGGAGCACAACAGAAGGCCACCGAGGGGAAGAGTGGGTCTCAATGCTAAGTGAAAAGATACACTTAGAAATCATCTCTGCACCTTTCTGAGCTTGTGTTCATTCCCGCCAGCCCCTTGGTTATGTGGGAATCTGTTCTGATTTACACAAACCATGCTTAGGCTCACTATGAACATTACTTGTATTTTTTTAAAGTTGTCTAGTGCAGCGGCCCCCAACCTTTTTGGCACCAGGGACCAGTTTCATGGAAGACCATTTTTCCACAGACGGGCGGGGGGAGGGGAGTTGGTTTCAGAGTGATTACGTGCATTACAGTTATTGTGCACTTCATTTCTTTTGTTATTACATCAGCCCCACCAAAGATCATCAGGCATTAGGCCCTGGAGGCTGGGGACCCCTGCTTTAGTGGGATTTTTTTTTTTTTTAATCCACCCTTCCATGTACTATTAGTAGACAGTTCTTTTCCAGTCATCTTTGTTTTTAAATTTTGAGACATTTCTGAGTGAAAATTTTGTAAGTATATGAGAAATGGGCCCAACCACTCATGAGCTCTTGTGTCAGAAAACCAAATGCAGGGGTTCGTCCTCCTACCCTAGGCTGGGAAAGCGACTGTGATTTCCCCAGGATTGTTGGTTGTTGAAGAAATAGGGCTATCTCATGTTTACCTCCCTCTTCTCTTCTCAGGGAGACCTCTGCTTTCAAAGAAGAGAAAAGATATTGTTACCTGAGCCTATTGCATCTGGCATTATATCTTAGAGGCATGAGGCATATCAATGCTGACATTGAAAAAAAATTGATCTGTTTGGCTGCTTTTTCTCTTTGCACTTTAATTATGTTGTCAGAGCTGACAGCTGACTAATAAATTCAACTTGCTGGCTCATAAGACCCAGTGGAATTGATAATATCCCACAGAGGTGGAGAATGTACATTTTTCCTGCATGGCCATCTCTGTACATAACTATATAGTGAAATATCAAGTAAGTAAAAGAAAATATTTATAATATTTGAAGACCATTCCAAAAATATTTTCAATAGCTCATATTAGCTAACAGGATAGCTCTAAACTCAAGGAGGGTGACTTATGGATGGTTAATTTTTCTTTCTTTTTTTTTTAAAAGTTGCTTGTTTTTTCTCTTTAGTTTCAAATAAAAAGTTGATGCATCTTGATGCATGATAAGAAGCATGAGTTCTTTGGATCCTAACAATGAATAACTTATCATTTTTTTTCTCAGTGTTCAGAAACAAAGTTTGAACTAATATATATTAGTTACACCAAGCACCTCAAAGTCTTGCAAAAGAATAAGAAAGTAAAGGCTAACTTTCTTGGTGCAAAGACAGTTTTGAAAGTGAACAAAAACCAGGACAGATCAGTGAAAAGACCACACACATAGCAGTTTCAGGCAGAACAACACCTGGAAATGTTGTATCAGACTCTGGCCTTGGACTCTCCAGAGTCTTCCAGAAGGCAGGGTGTGGTTCTGTGGGCACTGTCCCTGGAAGTTTGGACCCTTAATTCTATGACCCAGTGGTTCCAGAGGCACTGCAGCCATTCTTATTAGAGAAAAATAGGAACTAGAGGAATTTCCAAATGCTCCTTCCCTTTTGGCATACAGGTTTTCCTCAGCTAGTGACAAAGCCGGCAGGTCTATTTCCTGCAGAATGTTGGAAGAGCGCCCCCTAGCGGTCAACTATGGGCACTGTCCGTCGTCTCTGCTGACCCTTTAAGTACTTTTTTTTGCGAGTTACACACCCCTCCTGCTTCCTAGAGTCTGAAGCCTTGAGGGAGCTACAAGAGAGAACTCCATCTCCAAGGGAGTTGCTTTTGATGACCTGAACCATTTCTGGGCCAGCTGCGAGAGGAAAGCGCATTTTTAAAAAGCTCAATTTGGTCACATTTAAAAGCCCCAAGAGCAATTTGTGGTTTCCTTTTGATTGTTTAAAGCACCCATCCTCTTCTGCCTTGCGAGCTTTGTTTGACGGTTGGAATGAGCGCTCCTGGCTGGGTCTGCTTGTATTCCATTACATGAGACCCATTTCTATGAGTAGATGGGAGGTCAGCTTCTAACAGCCAAATAGGGAACACTTGTATTCTTGCAAAATTAACCTAGAAAATCAGAAGTAAAATCCAATTTCATGCTTTCAGATGAATACTCATATTTTGTATAGTCAATGAAATTATCTTGGGGATTTTACGGAATGCCTTTGGTGATTAACTCAGACATCCAGTTTTGCTACAGGGACAAGTCTCTTATTTAAGGCAATATATTATGTGACTGATTCAGGCATGAAGCAGAATGTTGTCAGTTTTCCTTAGTGTTTCTCCGAAGGAATTTAAAGAGGGAAATTCAAACCTACTGTTGCAGTATTTTCAACTGACTCTCACACCAAGTCCCTATTACTGTCCATTAAATTTCAGTACAGATGTTGAATGACTTGGCAGAGAAAAATCCATGATGTTCCAGTTTGGAGTGTGTGTGATAATGGACCTCCTTTTTTCTCACAGTGTTGTAACAGACAGGACCGTGGGTCAGCGATGATTGGACTGTTTTCAAATTCTTAACTAAAAAGAGTAATGCGGTAGGGAGGGTGTTCCCAATAGAATTAAGTTTTATTTTAAAATAAAGGATTTCATTTCACTTTTCTTTTCAAAGGTTGATTTTATTCTCCCTGGAGGGTGGGGAAAAAACAACTTTCCCTTCATTTTAAACCATAAGATTTTTTTTAAAACCAGCCTGTGAAGTTTATTATTTTTACTGCTATTGAAATGGTATAAAAGATAATATTTATGGCTAAACAATAGAGCTGTGCTAATGTCCACAGCCAGAAGGAATACATGAATAAGATTCATTTTCACTTCAGAAAGACAACAGATTGTAGTTTTAACTAATTACTTGATTACTGACACCACTATGTGAACCCTGGTAATAAGACTTGAACCAATGAAATCTAATCAGAGTGTCATTTCTTGGTATCTGTTAGTGACTTAAAATTAAGGCAGGGAGGAACTAAAGTAGAAAACAACCATCTTGTTGTAGGTATAAATACATGAAAGATCAGAAAATTATTCACCTTGGCTACCATACCACATGATGTTAACATTAGGGTTGATTTGATTGTACTTGATTGCATTTGCTCAAGAAAAATAATAGTTCTACTAAATGATGTTGAACCACTGTCTTATTCCACCACCATTAATTTTTCTCTGGAAAGGCAGTTGTGAAAGAGCACTGGACTAGGCATCCTAGCCCTAGGTTCAGATCTACCCAGCTAAAGCTGGGAAACCTTAGGCCAGTGCTGAAACCTCTCTGATCCTCAGTTTCCTCATCTGTGAAATGGAGTTAATAGTGATTCCTGTGCTGCCTACCTCACAGGACTGTCATGAGGACAAAGTGGATCCGACTGTAAAGTGCTGTCCAAATGTGAGGTAATTTGATTACCATCCTCATCTCTCTTTTGCAGAGGATTTAAGTGTATTTGTTTGTTTTGTGTGTGTGTGTGATGGACAAACCCGTGTATTACTTGGAGAACTATATTGTTTGTGTCCAGTTACTTTGCAAATCTGCTGACATCTGTGACTCCGACAGAGGGGTTTGTGCTATGGCCTAACACTTGCCAGGTGAGGTGTGGGTAATGCCTGTATGCAAATTAAACTTTGCCTTTCTCAAATTCTCCAAAATCTCCTTAGTCTCCTCATTTGTTTCAGCATTTTTCTATATTGTCTTCTGTGGGCTCCTTCAGCTATTCTTTTACTTCTAAAGTTCAGGGAGGAAAAGGTTTAGAAGAAGCCATGTTTCAGGTACTAAAATATCAGAGAATTTGAAGGATCTCGGGCTTCCTAGGTGGCACTAATAGTGAAGAATTCGCCTGCTCATGCAGGAGACTCAAGAGACGCAGGTTCGATCCCTGCGTCGGGAAGATCCCTGGAGGAGGAAATGGCAACTGACTCCAGGATTCTTGCTTGAAAAATTCCATGGACAGAGGAGGTTGGGCTAAAGCTTGGACAGTGGGCCAAAGTCCATGAGGTCCCAAAGAGTCAGACACAACTGAGTATGCACGCGAAGATGACTTTAAAGGTCCTCTAGCCCCACTGTCTTTCCAGGGTTTACAGCTTTCCCATGCCTTCACCAGCCCAGGTTTGAAATACCTCCAGGCACACGGAACTCATAACTCTCCAAACAGCTCTGTTCACCCAGTGGCAGCTCATGAACAGGCTGTGCAGAGAAGAGCTACTGAGGTTAGAGATGGAGGTCTGAGGCTGTGTTCCTCATCTAAAATGAAAGCCTCATATCTGCCCCTAGAATAACTGCAGTGGCTCCATGGAATAATATATATGAAAAATACTTCACTTTTGTCCAGTAGATGAAGTTGTCCTAATGTTTAGAGCTGAAGGAAACATGATGCAGCTGTTGAGTCCAAGAGAAAACTGAGAAAAGGGAGAATGTGGGTCCTTCTGTCTCATTGGCTTCCTTTTCCACTTCTGAAATGAGCAATCGGCCTGGTAGGGATTCGGGAACCCAGGTTCCTTTCATTTTGTTCCATTCCTCATGGCATTGACCTTGCCTGCTGGTCAAATCTGGATCCTGTTATTAATACATTCAGGCTCTAGCCAGATTCAGGGACAGAAAAGAGAATAACCCCCAACAGGAGATTTCCTTTATAGCAAGTAATAGGGCACTTACACACTTCACTTCTGTTCCTGTCCCTATGACATGAACTAGCCATGTGAACACCTGGCCACTAGCCCTGAACTTTGAAGGGAATTGGTGAAGATGAGACGGGAGTATGTGGCCTATGACAGAGATCATAATTTGAAGAATTTTCAGAAATCTGGGGTTTCTGTTGAGTCATCTATGGAGGTGGCCACTTCATCACCCCACCTTTATCATAAATGGGAAGATAACTAGGCCCTCAAAAGAAGGGTGCCACACATTTTTCTCAAAAATAGCCCAACTTCTCTTCTGACCTTACTAACATAAAATTACACTGTAACAGATGAGGAGTTGAGGTAAGGCATGGGGTAGGTGAATGCATGCATGCTAAGTTGTTTCAGTCGTGTCCAACTCTTTGTGACCCCATGGACTGCAGCCCACCAGGCTCCTCTGTCCATGGGATTCTCCAGGCAAGAATACTGGAGTGGGTTGCCACGCCATCCTCCAGGGGATCTTCCCAATAAAGGGACTGAACGCACATCTCCTGTGTCTCCTGTATTGCAGGTGGTTTCTGTACTACTGAGCCACCTCGGAAACCCATGGGGTGGGTAGGTGGAGGGTAAATGTCCACAAGTAAGGAATTGGAAAAAAAAAAAAAAAGAGCAGTTTCTCATTGTAACCACCATCTTTTAAATTCTATATCTCCATGCTTTTCAAAAGCTTCACCATTCTCTGCATCTGGGATCTGGGGTATTTCAGGCTCGCTGGATTTATTTCACCTGGTGCCTGAACTGCCATGAAACAGTTTGGTCAGCCCCACAGACCTCTAACTTGCTGCCTGTTCTGCCAGGGGAGCAGGAGGGACTATGGTCTGTTAGGACAAAAATGTGAAAACTGGGAGCTCTAAATCTTTACAGGATCATGCAATCAGTTTGGTGGGTCCCAATCCACAATTGTTCAATGAGATAACATAGGAGAACCTAGAAAATATCTGAGTATAACATCACATGCAAAAAGGGTAAGTATCACTTGTACGCTAGGTTATAATGATAGCATATATGTTAACTGAGACCAATACACAGTAAAGTGCTTGAATCTTAAGTGTACAGCTTGAGGAGTTTTTTACACGTGTGTACACTCATACAACCACCCCTAAATCAAGAACCCTTCCAGCCCCAGAGGGCCCTCTGAGGCACTCTCCCAGTCAGTACCCCTATGCAAAGGTAAAATATTTGCTTTTATTTTTGACCCTATTTGAAAGAGGTGGAGGCTCTGAAAGAGAACCTCTCTAGGTGGGAGGTTATTTCTGGGCTCCATGACCTGCTCCATCATCCCCTCCTCGCATGGCTTGGGTCCTGAGGAGGAAGGGAAAGGAGTCAGCTGGTGATGTGCACCTGGACATAGAAGCTGGGTACGTGACCATCACCAGACGCCTGGGCAGCTCCCTCTGAAATGCAGGCTGTGCTCCAAAGTGCTGGTGGGTCAATGCTATTTACAGTCAACCTTTCCGGTTTGCAGTGGATGTTCCAAGGAGGGCTATTTTTAAACAGGGTGATGGCCTGCGGGACCTTCTGGTAGTAAATTAAGCTGGTGTGGATACAAAGTGTATGGTCTAGCAATCTACTTCAGATGACCTGATCTAGAAGAGAAGGGTGATTGCCCCTGAATCCAACCCCCAGATAACTAGTTGGAAGGAGGTGCCCTGGTTCCTGGTTCAGAATGTGATTAGAAACTGGAGGGAGCTTTAGATGTCTTTCTCAGCTTGGAGGGGAGAGGCGAGGGTCCCGAAGAGAAAGGACCATTCTCCACAGCTAACCAGGGACCCAGGGATGGGCTCCTGAGGGAAGATAGGAACAAATTCCCAAATAGGTGCAGCAGTTGTCCCGCGGTCCTCTCACTCCCAACGCGGGAGCCTGCAGGTCTGGGCAGCCAGTTAGCTGGCTGCGGGCCCAGGAAGCCCTCGCAGAGCCCTGGGAGAGGCAGCCTCCACGACTAGACTTGGGGGAGGGAAACATTTCAGAGAAAAGGTAGGAGCTAGAAAGAGGCCGGAGACCAACCGCTGCCACCGACGGAAGAATCAGAGGCCGGTCCTTCAAGGGCAAGGCCGAGTCGGGCCCCGCCCCGACCCCTCCCAGAGCCCTTTCAAGGGCGGCCCCGCCCCCACCCTCAGAGTCCTTGGCTGTTCGCTAGCGGCAGGACGTAGGAGGCTTCGGCTCCAAGGTCAGTGTGGCTGTGGAAACCCGGCTTCATTCCTCCAAAACTGGGGTCATTGCTAGAGCCAGGGTAGGGCCTTGTGAGCGGTGGACCCAGGGCTATGGGCCGGGGTCTGGGCGATGCTCCTGTGTGAGGAATTCGTGGTAACTCTTGAGAAAAACCGGCAGCGCGTATGTCCTTGATTGAGCCGCCCCGCACCCAGGCGCAGGTGACCATTCCGTAGGCCAGCTGCGCGCGGGGTGCTGGCACCCTGTCAGCACCCTGCTTGCGGTGCCTGTCTTTGATAGGGAATCAGGGCTTTTTCTTGATGGAAAAAAAAAAAATTTAAATGCCACTGCGTTGGGGACTAACTTTCAACTTTCTTTCCCTTGTAATCTGTAGAAACTCATTAGTTTGAGGGATGGCTTCCCTCAGCAGCATCAGAAGATATGCAGACCAGTGACTTGCGATAAACTGAAAAATGGACACCTTGAAGCCCTGGAGAGGAGCTAATTACAGATTGGCTCAGGAGCTAGACTTGATTTATACTGGTTAATACATTTTAAATTTTATTTAAAATTATTTAACTAAAATAATTAAAATTTAAACAAAATAGCTAAAATAATTAAAATAATTAAATAAAAATAATAGATAATTAAAACCCAAGTAACTGTTTCCACCGCCCTCAGCCCCCTGACTGGAGGTAAAAATGCTAGAGTTGGCCTATGTGTATTTCATCTCTGGCAAAGGGCTGTTGTTTGCTTGCTTGGTTGGGTTACTGTCAGCCCTGTTTTTGTCCCTTGGGTAGGTGACATCTCTGCTGTTGTGGAGAGTGACATTCACCAGAATGAGGCAAAACCCTCTGGCCCTGCTCAGCGCTGCCCTGAGACCTTCCCTTGAGCGTTGCCCTGACTCTGCGACACCTCCCTGACAGGGTCAGGTGGAATCAGCAGAGGTGGCAGTTAATGGCCTCATGACACGGCTTCGCGTGTTCACCTGGTGTGTTGTTTCCAGAAGTGCTGCGTTTCCTTTCTGCAGCCATCCTGCTGCCTCTGTGTCTGAGCTTGTGTCCTTGGTCTTATCCTGCTGTGCTCAGATAGAAGAACACAGTCACCACCAGAACTTGGCAAGGGGCTTCCTGGGCCTCCCAAGCCGGCTCTGGGGGTTATTAGGCTGTGTGAGCCCTCCACTTCCTCTTCTACTTTTGTGGGTGACTTTTCCAACCTTCCCCCCAAACCTTTTGTGGGTGAAGGCACTGTTCCAGCAAAGGGCATGAGCACCGCATGCACCCACAAACTCTGCCAGCTTCCTGAGCAAATCTACCCTTAGAGCATGGACCAGGGGCCAGGTCAGTTTCCCTAAAGCGGAGGCTGAGGAAGGTCTGGGAAACTTGGGGTGGGGGAACAGGAGAAGGAATGGAGGGTCCTGCATGTTCCAAGGCAGGAGGAGGACTGGTTCTGAGACAGACTTTGCCCCTGGCTCAGAGGCACTGGGACTCCATCTCTGCCACAGCCTGGAATAGGAGCCATTTGCCTTCCCAGAGGGGACCACATGGGACCTTGCATCAGCATTCTGGGAGTCCCTGCTCACTGAGCCAGGAATCCGACAGGGAGCCCATCTGAAGGTGACCACTGGAGGTCACATCCACTGCTGCCTGGGAGTCCACAGGGCTCCTTCCCTTGGGCAGGGAAGGAGGCTACCACTCCTGTATAGCATTTCAAAGAACTAGATGGTTTCTAGCTTCCTATTTTCTTGAAAGCAACTTACACTTGAGAGATGAGCCTGTGATGGTTGTATGTCTTCATCACCAGGAGGCCTAGGAAAGGCCT